GGATGTTACAGAAATAACCAATGATTCTTTTTACAATAATACTAAACTTATCTTGTTCTTATGATGCATGAAAGAGAAGTAGTATGCTTATGTTTAAATGCTGAATTCTGCTTAAGCCAGGCGTGGACGTTATCTTGTACTTTCCAGTACCGTCCATGAACAGGCACAAAGACAAACCGAGCCTGCAACATTGTCAATTTTGCTGTTTTTGACTTTCTTTAGGGGTTCTTATTTTCCCAATTTGCAACTGTTTAAGAATGTTTCATAACATTATAAATACTGATAAAAATATAAGAACTAGAAGAAACAAATACAAAATCCAAAACAGGATAATTATTAAAGAGTTTCATAGGTTAGAGAACTTGAAAGTATCTTTTTAATTAAAATTAGTCAATTGTTAAAAGATACTAGGTAAACTAATCATCTATCCAAGCCCCTCATAAAACAATGGGATATGGATCCATTAAACTATATACACACAGATGGGGCTGGCACTTTATTGGAAGTTAATGAGCTGTTTATTGGGAGCTGTATATTGGGAAGTGTAATATATTACAGAACAGTAGAGGTGCCAATAAAGGGTGTTATACATATATTAAAAAATTGGGAAGGACTACCATATCAGTGTTACAGAAGGCCTGTAGATCAATTAAGTCACAGGATTTATTGAACTTAAATTTTATTGGCTAAAGATGTAGTCGATTTAAAAAAAGAAGCAAAAAATATAATTCAACACCCTGAATAAAGTTGTTGTTCTTTTCAAAATTCTTACCATTTGACGCATGCATTTAAACATTATTAATAAAGTGGATGAAAAGGATATGGTTAGGATTCCTGTACTGAAAAAGTTGGAATAATTGTGACAATTTGTCTGTAAATGTTTTTAAATCTATAAGTTTTATTGAATGACAAATGAGTTCACAGTTAAGCAGTTCATTTTCACTGAAATATTTACACAGAGAACTATTAAAAGTTAGAAATAATGAGCTTATGACACTGAATCATAATGAATCTTTGGATTATGTTGCTGACATTCCACATAAATAAACTTAAAATTTCATCAAATCAATAGAAATTAATTTCAACAATGAAAATGAATTCATGTATAGAAAGGTACTGCTGGTATGACATTCTATCTTTAACACAGTGTAAATGCATTATCTAGGAACAAGAGCTGTCATTGATATCGACAATATCGATGTATCGTTGATATTTTTTTGCCGATCAATAATCGATACACATTTTAAAAAATCGATACTTTTGACTAATAAATTAAATGTCTAGAAATTATAAAATTCACCCAAAATATATACAGAAGCAGTTATTTATATCTTATGTTATGCTTTTGTTATATAGTGGAATTATTTCATAGCAATGGTGACAAAAAATATTGTCTGGAAAAAATCATGCAGTGGACAAGACACTGTACAGAACATGTTTTTGACTGAAATCATTGAAACAGGTATGAAAGTGAATGACAGACAAATGAGTATAGGATATTATCGGTATATCGGTGTATCGTTGACTTTAGTCACTTGATATCGATATATCGTTGATATGCTTTGCACTGAATCAATGACAGCTCTACTAGGAACAACCAGTCTTTTAGCAATGTTCTTATTTTATTCCAAACATTTCAAAGTTCCTTAAAATGTAAGATAACTGGAAGAAAACTAAACATTTCAATGTTCATTCAAATGTAAAATAACGGGAAGAAAACTAAGCCAATACATGGCAATTTGTCCATCAAACAAAACAGACTCCAAATTATTAAACATGCTACATTTAGACAATAATTTAATAGAATGTTCCAACTCTGAGAAACTTCTCGGTGTCCATGTTGACAGCAGATTAAACTGGAAAAACCATATTAATCATGTGTTAAAAAAGTGCAATTCCAAATTGTACCTACTGCAAAGAATTAAATATTTCATAGACATTCCCATTAGAAAACTATTTTTTAACTCCTACATACTACCTCACTTAGACTATTGTTGCTCTATCTGGGGAAATTGTAATTTGGAGCAAATACAATCCATAGTTCGATTTCAAAAACGAGCAGCTAGGATTATACTAGATCAACCATATGATGCCCCGTCTGAAGATCTATTCATTTTATTAAACTGGATGAAATTCCCAGACCGAGTCAAATATAAACAAGCAATTATGGTATATAAGTCAATTAACAATATTTGCCCTGAGTACTTAAAACAAAAATTTACCTTCAACCATACTATTCATTCTCGCACCCTACGTTCAACAGATTCAAAACTTAACATATACCAACCAAAACCAAAAGTAGAATTTTTCAGAAAAAGTTTTAACTATTCAGGATCAAAAATCTGGAATGAAATACCAATCAGCATACGCTCTGCACAATCACTTCAAAACTTTAAACATAAATACATAGAAAATTGGAAAAAGACAAATCAAATATAAAATTATGAGGAAAACACTGCTCTTGTTGAAATATTGTTATTGTCAAAGGTTTATTTGTAAGTTTGAAATGCCTTGTTTCACTGTATATTTTTTTTTGTGCACTTTATATAATTATTGTCATTTTCTATTGCAATATCAAAATAATTATGTTAATTAATGTTTCTGCATAATATTTCATGTTATTCACAACTATATGATTGTAAATATGTACATTTTATGAGGCCCACAGGGTAGATTGCCTTTGTTGCAACTGTGTAGCCTCTTTAAATAAAGACTTTATTATTATTATTATTATTATTATACAACTTTTCATTGTGAAACACGAAAAGTAAGAAACTCCTTAGGCTGCAGTCTCACTTACCTCCTGGCAGAGCCTGGAAGACGTCTGGGCTGATACAGGAACGATCGGGGTACAATTTGGAACAACCAGAGTACATCCGTAACTCTGCCAGCAACGTCCGGAATGATCCGGGTACATCAGGCATTCGACCCCGGATGGAATAAAACATTTAATATCACCGGGGTGGTCCGGTAGAGTCCTGGTGAATGCCTGCAGAGCCCAAGAGGATAACGATAGATCTATGATTGATCCAAGCAGAGCCCCTGCAAAGCCCGGTTCAATTCAAAAGAATCACAACAATTTGTGATGATAGCACTTGTTTGTATTAAAACCCTTCCCCATTTCCCTTCTGTCCAGTCTTGCATATTAAGGACTATTCGAAAATCATCATGAATTACTATTCTGGAACAATAGATATTATATTAAATGAAAATTATATATCAACGTTTACAATCATTTTTAGCGCTTTCAATCCAACTGGGTTCTACCGGGATTGTCATGGGCACTGTCTGGATTGACCCGGGCTCAGTGCCTAGTAGGTCAACCGGGGCTCTCCCAGCATCATCCGGGAAAGCACCAGCATAAACCGTAGTGTCACCTAGGCTCTGTCTGAACACATCCTGGGTGGTTAGTTGGAAATTACCGTAGTGCTGCCGGGGTAAATGTGACCACAACAATAATTTTACCGCCGATCATCCCAGTAACTTACTGGGGTGGTCCTGGGCTCTGCCTGGTGTAAGTGACACTGCAGCTATAATTGTCGGGTATATCTATACATTTTTCTTATTCTGTGTCCAATTATTTTACATTTATAGTACTGTACTACAAAGCATATTTATTTACTCTTAGAAATTTTGATATTTTAAAACAAAAAAAAACAGGCAAGCATAAACTATGAACTTTGAACTTCTAGTGTAACATCCTTCCCCCCCCCCCCCCAAATATCGAACATTCGTCCCCCTGATACAGTTCAGTTTTGGATTATAATTGACAAGAAACATACATTTATAAGAAAGCCCTATAAATTTTACTGTTTTACAAGAAATGTGTTTGCATATTTGATTTAAGTATAATGATTTGGTGTACCTATCCTTGTTTTTTTCTATTTGTTTCTAACATGTTTGAAAATTTCATTTTTGCAAGGGAAAATACTGAAAATTAGAAAGCAAATATTTTTATATCTTAGATGATTTTTCTAAATTTTCTTTTTGTAACATTTATCAGAATACATATTTTTTTTTTTTTAAAGAGGAATAATAATTTCCTTATAACAAACTTTAAGATATGCAGACTTTAAGCACAACTTTGAAACATCAATCCCCTGACCATGCACACAGTCCCAAAGATAATATTTTGAAAATAAAAGTATCCAAAGTTATCCTTTCTTTAAAAAAATAATGTTACAGGCACCTTCCTTAAGGTACATTAAAAAGCAAATATCGTCTTGTTTAACTTGATTATTTGACTTAGATGCTAATATATTTGGCCCATTTATTTACTCATGTGCAGCAGGCATAGACTGCCATTTTATTGCTGAGAAATTCACAAATTTAACCTTTAGTGTCAAATTCAAATTAAGGTCAAATCACATGACAATAACAACTAGAGACATAGATCTACTCTGGGATATACGATATACGATATATCGTATGTCCCAGATCTACTTAAAAGCAAAAAGAAACACTTACCAACAAACTGCCCGCCACATAGATCTACTGCATAAAGGACATCATGCACGAGAATAAACTTCTCTGAATATGTCAACTTGTCTACTAGTATATAAAACAAGCAGATATTTTGAAAATTTGTTGAAAATTAACTGCTGTATGATTGGGTCTCCAAACCGCTTTCATCTCATACAGGCACTAATTACTTGGCACCCGCTAAAAGTTCAAAGCGTTTATGCGGCGACGGACGAATCGACACGATAATTTAGGGGTAGTCACCATACACGGCAAACTCATCAGTAAATTTCCGCCATATATATCATAATTGAACATTTAAGTACTTAAATAAAGAATTCAAATGTATTCATTCATAAAAATACACTAGATGCTCCTAAAATTGTAATCAAACTGTACAATGATTTAAAAATTGTAGAGCTAACACCCCAATAAAAACGTAAACATTGAATCGTCCAGTAATCTGGGTCATCGTCTGCTAATGTACAGATCATTCTCGCCTCGGTTATCACGCACACAATAAGTGTAGGCCTATGTATAGGTCATATTTTATTTTAAAAAATATTGTCTATATATTTTAAAATTAAAACGTGAAGATGATGTGGCTTTTGAAAGAAGATATTGATTCGGTACTTTGTACAATATCGATGAGGAAATCGGCGCTAGTAGGCCCTACAGGTCTGTGTCCGCCCTGAAGAAGATCTTCATTTTTTGAAGGTAAGTGGCTGGTATGTAACTGTCTGTTCATTACATAATATCACGGGAAATTAACATTTAATTGCAATTACTGAAAAGTCTGAAACTACTGAAAAGTCTATCTTTCTATAAAATTCTCATTTTTTTGGCTTCGTTCATGCCTATTTTAGCCTCAAATCAGTGTGAAAAAAATAGTTTTATATAGAAAAGGTTTAGCTTTAAATAAAAACTTTAAGGAATTTGGCAAAGATAAAATGAAAATTAAGCTTTAAAAAAATAATTTCAAACACTAATTTGTATTAAAAAGTATACTTTAATGATTATAATCATACGGATTATTTAGACTGTGCATAATTTTATTGATCATTAATGGAATGCACACAAAAGAGACAAAAGTTACAGGGATTTTTTCAAGGATTTTAGGAACACGACACATTGTGAAAAAAAGCATGACTGAAATTTTGAAGTGATTAAAATAAATGGATGCAAACAATTTCTGTTTATGGTGGCATCTTCAATTATTTAAGCACTATTACATTGAAGAAGCCGTTATTTGCAAAGATTTAATATTTTAATTTTGTAACTTTCAATTCCTGTGGATTGGGAAAATAATGTACTATTTTCAATTGGGAATATGACCCAATAACGGCTATAAAATAAGCCAAAAAAAAAATCCCTGCTTGAGTTAACAAGCTGCATTGTATTTAAAGGATTTGTTGTGATATGATTTTATAACAGTGGGTGGTCAGTCAGGAAAACTTATAATCAGTTCCAGATTAGGGCAACTGGTCAAGATGCTGTTGCTTGATTATACTCTAAATCACTCATTTTATTCAATGACTTAATTTGCAGATCAAACATAATCCCAACTTTTCTAGGAAACACATTTAGACCTGTGACAGTATGCTCATTTTTTAATGCCTAAGTTGAGCTGAATTAGCGATATACAATGTTACAATCTCAATTAATGAAACATGGATTGGCCAATAATTTATAATGACAAACAAAATAATTAGGATGAAATAAAAATTGATTAATATAAAAAAGACTGCCCAACTTTTATGTGACATCCGTGCTGTTCTACAGAAATAAGAAACTTCGAGTTTGACGGGAGCGATAGCGACCCTAGAATGTTTCTAATTTCTGTAGAATAGCTACGTATGAATACTAACATATTTAGTGTCAACGTCATTAATGATTATGATTATATCAAAATGATCAATTGAAAACATTGTGACAAAATGTAAAGTTATTATGACTTTTTTCACGTAGCACTCAACATGAACATTTATAAGGATGAGCATAATAATTATCACTTTAAATGTAATTTTAAGGCATAAAAATAATAATGTCCTGTACTTACTAAGGTATTCTGGTGGAACACTATTTCTTTAATAATTAAATGCCCACGCTGTTATAATAACTCCCACATTTTTTCATTCATTCTGACTATTCTGCAGTCTGTACAGAATTGCTTATTCAAGAGTTATAAATTACATTCTATAAGTTTTGTCCAAAGCGATGAGATTTACAACAATAATGTTACACATGTATATAATGATCCCGGTAACACAGTCATGTGCATACCAAATTAGACACCAAATAAAAATTGTAAATTTTCAAATTTTTCTGGTATATACACACAGTATATTATCTTCATTGTTTACAGCAGGTATAATACTTACTGGAACACAACATGCAGTTACAGTTCCATTCGCAGTGTTCCCTATATCTACAAATTAACTGCTACAATAAAATTCAAAATAACCTGTTCAGGTAAAAGCTTTTTGACTAAGTTCAAGTATCTTTTTAAAGACACTTACGTTTAGGATAAGTAAGTTACGCAGCGGGTAAGTCAACTATTACAGTAAAACAGTTATCAAACTGTGATTTTCCATCTTAAGGCATGTAGGCTTGCGATATAAATTAAAATATTGACAAATTAATCACCTGTCAGCGTAACGTACTAGGTAAGGTAATGCCAGTTAATGTTCTAGTTAAATATCAATGCAAGACTGGTCCGAATTGTACTCTTTTTCTTTTTTTTCGCGAAAATAGTTTCTGTAAATAAACAAGTTATTTTTTTCTTGACCTAAAGAGATATTTAGTGTTGTGTTAATTTCTAAAGACTATTAAAGGGACTCCACTGAGGTTTTTAACCAGGTTTTCCGAAGGAAAAAACTGGTTATTAGAGATTGAGGTATGTCGGCGGGCGGGCGGGCGGGCGTAAACAATTTCTTCTGTGCGCAACTTCTCCTACATTTCTCAACGGATTTTGACCAAACTTTCACAGAAGCTTTGTCATCAAGTGCCCTGGCGCATATTGTCGGGGTTTTGCGATTAGATAATATTTGACCTAATTATGGCCCTTTGTTTTTTTTCCTTATATAAAATATATAGTGAACAATTTCTTCTGTGCGCAACTCCTCCTACATTTCTCAACGGATTTTGACCAAACTTTCTCAGAAGCTTTGTCATCAAGTGCCCTGTCACATATTGCCAGGGTTTTGCAATTGGTATATATTTGACCTAATTATGGCCCTTTGTTTTTTTCCTTATATAGAAATTAGAATATATAGTTAACAATTTCTTCTGTGCGCAACTCCTCCTACATTTCTCAACGGATTTTGACCAAACTTTCTTAGAAGCTTTGTTATCAAGTGCCTGGCACATATTGTCGGGGTTTTGTGATTGGATAATATTTGACCGAATTATGGCCCTTTGTATATTTTTTCCTTATACAGAATATATAGTTAACAATTTCTTCTGTGCTCAACTCCTCCTACATTTCTCAACGGATTTTGACCAAACTTTCTTAGAAGCTTTGTTATCAAGTGCCTGGCACATATTGTCGGGGTTTTGTGATTGGATAATATTTGACCGAATTATGGCCCTTTGTATATTTTTTCCTTATACAGAATATATAGTGAACAATTTCTACAGTGCGCAACTTCTCCTACATTTCTCAATGGATTTTGACCAAACTTTACAGAAGCTTTGTCATCAAGTGCCCTGGCGCTCACTAAATTCCCATGTTTCTTCCAAGACATCATTCAAGTATTTTTTTAAAATTGTGAACATACTTTTCTTGATATCGCACAAAACACCACACGCCAATATTGTTGACAAAAGAAAATGACTAGAGACGCAAAAATTAAGCAAAAATAAAGTACTGTTTACCTTTCTAAAATATTTGGGGAAAAAAGGCGAATAGACAACATAAAATTTCTCAGTCATTTTTGTTTGAGGAATATTAAAAAAGCCATAATTCCTCCTAAAAGTTCAATTAAAAACAAATGCCCCTTCATGACAAAGCTTCTGTGAAATATTTTGCTGAAAACCTGGTTGCATCGCATTGCGATGTTCCTTGTTTGACATGACAGAACTGGAAATATTTTTTTGAGATTATTACTCCATTTGATGTAGATCTATACTAATTACTTATACATGTGCAAAATTTCAGATCATTAGCTTGCTCCATTTTGCCAGAATAATTATTATAATAGTGAAAAATGACCCAAAATTGAAAAGCGTTTAAACGCTTTACACTTAAATCGGACTGAGAATAGCACAAACATATGATTTTTAATGTATTTCTTTAACAGTTTTGGTTATATTTTATAAATATTTATGTTTTAAGTGCTCATGTATATGTGAAAAAATTAAAATTTCATGTTTTAGGCTTATAAACCTCAGTGGAGTTCCTTTTATGATTTGTGTTGTGTTAATTTCTATAAACTTCTCATTTCACTTTATTTTCAAAGTAATATCTGGCAAGTTGGTACAACCTAAACATTATACTGAATACTAAACGGAATGAATAAATGTACACAAATTGTTTCACCTGGCACAAAATACTTGTGCACTGCACAAGTACTTTGACACACTGCATACTACACAGGATAAAAAAATATTTCCGGTATATTTAAATTATAAGATACTATTTCAAATTACTTTTATTTTCCAATTCTTAGTTAGACAACTTGTGATACTCGAACTCCTAAAGATTTAATTGCATCCTAATGATTTTACAAACCTTGCCATTAAGACAGTTAAAATTCTATTTTTAGCTTGACTATTTGAAGAATATGAGAGCTATTGTTGTCGCCCGGCGTCAGTGTCAGTGTAAAGTCAAATATCTCATTTATTGTTTTCAAGAGATATTCAGTTGAAACTTACAATACTTATTTATAGTAACAATGTACATCAGATTGACAAGTTGGATAACTCTGCCTACAATATTGACAGAATTATGCCCCTTTTTAACTTAGAAATTTTGGTTAAAGTTTATTGTAAAGTCAAATATCTCAATTACTGCTTGAGATTTTCAATTGAAACTTACAATACTTATTTATAGTAACAATGTACATCAGATTGACAAGTTGGATAACTCTGTCTACAATATTTACAGAATTATGCCCCTTTTTAACTTAGAAATTTTGGTTAAAGTTTTTTGTAAAGTCAAATATCTCAATTATTGCAAGTGAGATATTCAATTGAAACTTACAATACTTTTTTATAGTAACCATGTACATCAGTTTGCAAAATTGCATAACTCTGCCTGCAATATTTACAGAATTATTTGCCCCTTTGAAACTTAGAAATTTTGGTTAAAGGTTAAGGTCTTCAAAGATATTTACTTGAAACTTTACACATGTACTTAGGGTCATAATTGGAGAGTCATAATTTTATGTCACTGACCAAGTTCCATAACTCTACTTGCATTTAGGCTGATTCATCTTCCCTTTTCTACTTTATAGTCTCTTGGTATAATGTTTACATGCAAGTTTTACATATCTCAATAACTATTAAAGATATTTATTTAAAACTTCACATATATGCATTTAGAATCATAATTGTAGGTCACTGACCAAGATCCATAATTCTATCTTGCATTTAGGCTGATTTTTCTCCCCTTTTTCAACTTAGAAATTCATGGTAAAGTTTTGCTTGTAAGCTGTTATCTCCATAACTACTGAAGAGTTTGTGCATTTTTTGGGACATTTTTATGCATTAATAATAATAAAGCAGTGAATAATACTTGATAAAACATCTTAATAACAAGCCTGAGTACCTTTTCGGTTAATTTTATGTATTCATAGGTAATTAGCATTATTATACTTAATAAAACACCCTTGTGACAACTTTTTGAATAGTCGAGCCAATACTGTCCTCCGACAGTTCTTATTTATCTTGTACTATATTTTCTTCTACAGAACCTGTTATACCTATTCAGACAAAGATTGTAAACTTTTGTGTACACAAAAAAATGCAACGTCATTCTCACATTCTCATAGCAGCACAGTACTTAAATTACGGTCATGTTATTTTTTTAATGAATGAATAATTTAATATTTTTGCAGGTGAAGCTACAATATTTGTCTTGAACTTGACTTCACTAGCTGGGCTTATAAAGACAAGATATCCAGAAGTGATTTCATAGAGAAATGGAAATAAATAAGTAAGTTTTTTTTCCTTTTAAATTTATATAAAACTATCCAAGTCTATTAATTTTATTTTGGTAAACAATACTGTAACCTTTCTGAATTATTGGAATACATGTACATTATTGCTTTGAAATTAGAACAGTCCATTAAAAATTAATTATACTTTTTCTTTTAATCTTCATTTTTAGCTCGACTTTAAAAAAAAAAATGATAAGCAGTCATGTCGGGTTGCCGTTGTCGTTCGCAAACTTTAACCTTGATCATAAATTTTTAAGTTCTTGGTGTTTTAATTAAATGTCTTTATACTTGGCCACAACAACCCTTGGGACAAGACCTTCAAGTATACCAGACTAACCTTGACCTTCAATCATATGTGCACAGTTTAAGATGTAAAATTGAACTTCAATATCAGCTGGCCTAGATCAATTTCTTGGTCTTTGATGTACAGCTATGAAATTTGGACCACATGCACAGTTTTAGATGTAAAATATCAGCCATCCTATATTTTAACATAGTTGCCTACTTTCTTGTCCTTTAATGTACAGCTATGAAATTTGGACCATGTGCACAGTTTAAGATGTAAAATTGAACTTTGTTATCAGCTGACCTATATTTTGACCTAGTCATCTATCTTCTTGTCCTTTGATGACTACAGCTAAGAGATTTGGACCCTGTCAGTGTGCACAGTTTCAGATATATTATTGAATTTCAATTTTTGTCAAATATCAGATTTCCTAGATTTTGAACTAGTGGCATGTAACTTTGGCTGTTTTTACTTTTTTCTAAAATTTCTGTTTTAACATTTCTTTAAAACTTTAAATTTTAATTTGTTTGCATTTGAGCAAAACAACACATGTGACCAAACAGACATGTTCAATGATTTAGATATGACCTTGATCTTTAGATGACATTGACAGTTGTTTAATTTATAATAAGGGGCAATAAAACACGAAAGCCATTTTTGTTCCCTAAAATTGTGATAGAATATTTGTCTTTTTTTTCTCAAAAACTATCAAAAGTTAACCCTTTCACTGCCATAGGGACGGCTAATGCCGCCCCTGTTATTTTCGGCGTATTTGCCATATGGACGGCTTTTGCCGTTTCTATAATATTCATAATAATAATAATAAATTAATAATAATAATAATAATAATTTTTAGCTCGACTATTCGAAGAATATGAGAGCTATTGTAGTCGCCCCGGCGTCGGCGTCAGCGTCTGCGTTGGTTAAAGTTTTTTGTAAAGTCAAATATCTCATTTATTACTTGAGATATTCAATTGAAACTTACAATACTTATTTATAGTAACAAGGTACATCAGATTAACAAGTTGGATAACTCTGCCTACAATATTGACAGAATTATGCCCCTTTTTAACTTAGAAATTTTGGTTAAAGTTTTTTGTAAAGTCAAATATCTCAATTATTGCTTGAGATATTCAATTGAAACTTACAATACTTATTTATAGTAACAAGGTACATCAGATTGACAAGTTGGATAACTCTGCCTACAATATTGACAGAATTATGCCCCTTTTTAACTTAGAAATTTTGGTTAAAGTTTTTTGTAAAGTCAAATATCTCAATTATTGCTTGAGATATTCAATTGAAACTTACAATACTTATTTATAGTAACAATGTACATCAGATTGACAAGTTGGATAACTCTGCCTACCATATTGACAGAATTATGCCCCTTTGGAACTTAGAAATTTTGGTTAAAGTTTTTTTGTAAAGTCAAATATCTCAATTATTGCTTGAGATATTCAATTGAAATTTAAAATACTTATTTAAGGTAACAATGTACATCAGTTTGCAAAATTGCATAACTGTCTGCAATATTTGCAGAATTATTTGCCCCTTTGAAACTTAGAAACTTTGGTTAAAGGTTAACGGTCTTCAAAGATATTTACTTGAAACTTTACACATGCACTTAGGGTCATAATTGGAGGGTCATAATTGTATGTCACTGACCAAGTTCCATAACTCTATCTTGCATTAAGGCTGATTTATATCCCCTTTTCTACTTAGTTTCTTGGTTAATGTTTACATGCAAGTTTTACATATCTCAATAACTATTAAAGATATTTATTTAAAACTTCACATATGCATTTAGGGTCATAATTGTAGGTCACTGACAAAGATCCATAATTCTATCTTGCATTTAGGCTGATTTTTCTCCCCTTTTTCAACTTAGAAATTCATGGTACAGTTTTGCTTGTAAGCTGTTATCTCAATAACTACTGAAGGGTTTGTGCATTTTTTGGGACAATTTTATGCATTCATAATAATAAAGCAGTGATTTACTTGATAAAACATCTTAATAACAAACCTTTGTACCTTTTTTGTCAAATTTATGTATTCATAGGTAATTAGTATTATTATACTCGATAAAAAACCCTTGTGACATTACCTTCCGAATAGTCAAGCCAATTCTGTATAATTAGACTCTCTCTAAGGCCTATAACATGAATTTATAAAAAAAAAATTAGCCCTTTTGTGAACTTAAAAAATTTAACAATATCAAGGCTCTTTTACTATCAAGCACTTAAAATAGTCGAGCATGCTGTCCTACAGACAGCTCTTGTTATAAATATAAAGAAAATTAAACCATCGACAATAATTATTATTATACTAGCATATTTGGAAACATATATAATTATTATAATACTAATAACAAATAATAGGTGACCAAAAAAACAATAACCCTCTGGCAGCGAAAGGGTTAATCAAACATTAAATATTTCTTGACTATCAAGGAAAGGTTAGTCTGCCAAGCACTTTTCTAGAATTAGGCCTGCTTGAGAACTCTTGTGTTGGTTCTAACTATCTAGAACTTGCGAAAAGTGGAGCTTGGTCTCTGACAGAATTTGATTAAATAAACATCTAAACTAATTTATTCAGTATATCTGAAACCACTCTAGGTATTAAGTTGGTAAGGTACAAGAAAGGCGTATCTATACGTCGGGAGATAATGTACAAAAAAGGCATAGCTGTCTGTGAGTCGGTTAAGTTGAATAACTTTAAAATATATTCTTTTTGTTTGCAGTACCTAGAAGCATGTGAAGTGGAGATGAAGTGATGCTGAGAACTTTCAAGGTATATTTTGCTATTTTTGAGTAAACCTGTGACATAAAGTGTAACTCCCTGCATTTTAGAATTCCTTTTTAGCTCGACTATATGAAGTATATGGAGAGCTGTCCTACTCACCCCGGCGTCTGTGTCAAGATTTCAGATTAAAGTTTTGGTGCAGTAAAATATTTTGGACTGTAACTTTTTATTGTGCCCCCACCATAGGTGGGTGGGGGCATTTAGATTTACCCTTGTCCGTCTATCCGCACTCACAGGACAGTAATTATGTGGCTAGAGGGACAATAGGTAACTGTTCTTTCTCTTTGATGTCATTCATTCCGTAATGCTTTTATGTGGCTATTTTCTTTTGTGTGGCTAAAAAGAACAATAGAGAGCACAATAAAGTAGCCACATTATTACTCTCCTGTTAGAACGTCCTTGATCATTGTGTATAGTTAAAACTTAAAAAATCTTCTTTAAAAAAAAACCGAAAGAGCTAAACCTTAGTTGTTTAGCATGAAACATCTTCTAATGGGTGTCTACCAAGTTTATTCAAATAAGAGGCCTTGGATTTAAATTAGCCCGCCCTGGGGGTGATTAATTTTCCTTATATATGTATAGCAAAAACTTAAAAAATCTTCTTCAAAAAAAACGAAGAGGTAGAGCTTAGGTATTAAGCATGAACCATCTTCTAGTGAGTGTCTACCAAGTTTGTTCAAATAAAAGCCCTGGTGTCAAAATTTTGCCCGCCCCAGGGGTTCATTGTTTTTCCCTACATGTGTATAGTAAAAACTTCTTTAATAAACCCAAGGAGCTAGAGCTAAGATATTGTAATCTTGTAATGGGTGTCTACTGTCTACCAAGTTTGTTCAAATAAGGGCTCTAGGGTTACAGGTCATTGATTTTCCTAATATGTGTAAAAAATCTTATAAAAACCCCAAAGATCTAGAGTTACTAAGCATGAAATATCTTCTAGTGAGTGTCTATACCAATTTTGTTCAAACAAAAGACCTGTGGTACAAAATTATCCCTGCCCGATGGGGGGGCCATTGTTTTTCCCTATATGTGTGTATTAAAAACTTAAAATTTCTTTTTTTAATAAACTCAAAGGGCTAGGGCTTAGATATTTAGCATGAAACATCTTCTAATGGGTGTCTACCAAGTTTGTTCAAATAAAATCCCTTGGGTTAAAATTTGCCTGGCCCGTGAGGCCTATATACAGGTGAGCGATTTCAGGGCCATCATTGCCCTCTTGTTAAGGTCTCTTCTTCAAACTTCAAATATGTTTTTCTTATCACACATGTTGTGTGGCAAGGTCAATAACTCTAGTGTGACTATTTCCAGAATTATTTCCCCTTGAACTTGGAATTTATGTAAACAACTATAACTGCTTGTCATAAGAAGAAATAATTTTATATTATAATTGATTTTCCTATCATAGTTTTGTCTTCCTTACTGCATCCAGTATTTAATTAGTCGAGCTTCGCTGTCTCCTGTGACAGATCTTGTTGTTGTACATATTCAGTGTCAATTTTACTATAATATTATTATAGTCGTTGAAATATGACATTTTTTCAAAATAACTTAGGCCAGAATTAAAAATATGTTTGTTTGCTGTCTCCCTACCTACCCATAAAAAACAGGCCTGCCCAAAAGTTTTTATTGCCTCCTGAGCAAGAAAGTTTTTATTAATTATCCCCACTCATTCAACTCACGTCATAAACCAACCAGTTTGTTAACAGAATAGTGCTTTGATATAGAAAACAGAAGATAGAAAATATAAATCAGAAGGTTTAAACACTGTTTATAGCATTTTACTTTCTCATGTGAAATTATAATAAGGATAACTATGTACAATTTTTAGAATAAAAAATATTTTGCCTACCTACCTACCTACCCAAACTCACAAAGCAAGATCGGGAGAAAGCAAACAAAGAATATTTTTAATTTGGCCTTATATTAAATTTTTTTGATATATATGATCAGTACAGGATTGACAAATATGCTTTTTATTTGGATTTTAAAGGCGTTTTGAGCTCCACACCCCAAGTGTCTGTGGACCATTTTTCATATATAATAAAAGGTATGGACTTGAAACTTCTGAGGATGATAGCTCTCATTAAGAAGAAGTGCAGTGCACAAAAACCGGTACTCATCACTTCCTATTTTTTAGTAATTGCCCTTTGTCAATTTTCATACTTTATTTTTGTCCTGGCCATTTCTCCTAATTAAGCTGTAAAAGCTATGGACTTGAAACTTCATAGGATGATAGATCTTGTTGTAAAGAAGTAAAGTGCAAAAAAACTGGTACTCTGCTCTTCTTATTTTTTTAGTTATTGAGTTATTGCCCTTTATTGTTTTTCAGGTTATTTCTCCTAAACTGTAAAAGCTTTGGACATAAAAAACTTTGTAATTTCAAGGCCTTGAACTAATTAAAATTGCATCTTTGAGTAGTTAAAGGGCATTTAACTAAGAATGAAAATAATCATTTACGCAAACAAAATTGGAACTATTAGAATGAAAATTAATGGTTTGTGTAAACAAATTTGGAACTAGATATTAATGTAATTATCAACATTTGCAATTTTGTCTGCATGCATGAGCATCTATGGGGTGATGACACATTTCTAGTTTTATCTTTTTAAAATGCAATTTCAGAAATAGTATAATCAATTATCACTCTTATCTTTAAAAGTGACCTATATACCATGTACTTGTTTCATTGGAATAAGTCAGTACTTACCTATGCATTTATATTATTAGTTATAAAGATTTTTTTGACAAGTTATATGGCCCTATATAAATGGTTGTTTGAAAATATAACCCGAGCCGCTAGGCGAGGGTTATATTGCAAACAACAGTTTATATATGGCCATATAACCAGTGTCAGAAATATTTATAACAAATTTATGATACAGCAAGCATCTTTTTCAAGAGTAAAAAGATTTCGTCATAAATTTACAGCAGCTGTGTATATAAAATTGTATATATGACTCAATTATCCAATGAAAAGCAATGTTACAACGTTCAGTATTGTAAGTATATTTATTAACCAATGTCAGCAGGTTGGGGAAGTCTGTTTTAAGAGACTGTCTTATGTGACCATTTTTCTCGATTCCCAGAGTCGATCACTTAAAACAGTCTTGACTGTACTGAGTAACAAACCTTTAGCACAAAGGCATCGATTTGCACTTACTCTTAAGAGAATTAATATTGAATTTGATATTTATAACATACTTTGTCAAAGAAGCAAATATTATGTACATTATCGTATATTTACTCACTGACTTACTTTGCAGGAAACTTCTCAGTGAAGTACGATGATGGCACACAAGAGTACCTTCTTCATGTTCTTCATGGGATAAAAGCACAGGATCATTATAATCAGGAGTTACTCACAGGATCATTATAATCAGGAGTTACTAGTACTCAGTCAACATAGACTCAATTTGAGAAAAGAATTAAATGGATATTAATGGTAGCCTAAAAATATTTGACCTAGAGTCTTTAGTTTGACAAAACAGTCAAGTGTTGGGGCACACATGTCCTATGGATACTTTTCTAGTTACAATTTATTTAGACATTAGTGTAAAAACAACAAAATTAATTATTAAATGCTGTTCATGTTTGAACTATGTTTTAATCTTACCTACATGTATAAAAATCAAACATTTTTAGCTCGACTATTTGATAAGATTAAGTATAGCTATTGTAGTCACCCGAGTGCCGGCGTAACCTCCTATGTTGAAGTTTTTGTAATACCTCAAATATTTTCAAAATCCATTGACATATTACTTTGAAACTTAGGGCACTTGTTCACCATCATGACCCCAACCTGTAGACAGGAGGAGGTAACTGTATTGAGCATTTTGACAGAATTATGCCCCTTTTTCGACTTAGAATTTACATTCAAGTTTTTTAAAATACCACCTCAGATATTTTCAAAGTCCATTGACTTATGGCTCTGAAACTTTGCACACTTGTTCACCATCATGACCCCAACCTGTAGACAGGAGGAGGTAACCGTAACAAATATTTTGACAGAATTATGCCCCTTTTCTAACTTAGAATTTATGTTAAAGTTTTTGTAACACCTCAAATATTTTCATAGTCCATTGACATATGACTCAAAACTTTGCACACTTGTTTAACGTCAATATCCAAACCTGTAGACAGGGGGGGGTAACTGTATGAATCTTTTTGAGAGATTAATGCCCCTTTTTCAACTTAGAATTTACATTTAAGTTTGCATACCACCTCAGATATTTTCATATTGCTTTGAAACAAGTTGAAATTTTAAACTTTTCTTTGAGAGCATAATATGACTCTCTCTCAAAGGCTGTAACATGGATTTAAAGAAAAAGTTTACCCTTTTGTTAACTTAGAAAATTTTACATTATCAAGGTTCTTTTACTATCAAGCACTAAGAATAGTCGAGCGTTGCAATCATAGAATAATACAATATTTTATTGATACTCGATACATTTTAAGTTTGCAGCATTAAGTTTTATGCAGCTTAAGAAGTTTTATTATATTGCTTGTTTTTCATTGTACAAAGATAGAAATTTTGACCATACAAAACTCAAATTGCATTTTAAAAGGTGTAAAATTTGAATAATTTACTGCATAGTGTATACATGTAAATGGTTTAATTGCATTTGCAGACAATATTATCTTTAATGAAAAAGGCTATTAATATTATTTTTTATGAAAAGCACTGACCAATCAATTTCATGTTAAATATTTCAGTTAAAGCTGCACACCTCCAGATTCATGTTAAATTTTAATAGAAATTTAGAAAATTAAAAGTTATATATTGTGTGAACATAGAAAGTAATTTTCACATTTCATTGAACGAAACAATCTGTAAACTACCAAAACCAGGTAACAATATGCAGAAATAACTTTTAATTTACTGGGTTAGTCAATGAATAGAAATATGGGAAGAAATTCTACAACAATGTGTCATATATTGCATGTAATATGCACGTTACCACTTGCATTGATAATTATTTTTACTTTTCTTAAACATTTTTCTCAAGTTTGATTTTCATGAAATAGACTTGGTCATCTGGAGGCAATTGAAACTTTAATGCAGCATGTGGTCAGAATGCTTTTGTGTAATACAAAAATTCCACTGGCAAATTGTTATAATCAAGCAGAGGCAATCGGTAGTATTATTTTCCTTGCCCTGTTGACTGACATCTGTTTATGATATAAACAAAGGCTAAAAAATGGCTTTTATATTTCATTGATATAAATTTAATTGATTTAATTTGTTTATCTTGTACTGAGGTATATTTAAATTTGCTTTTAATTTTGAAAATATTGATACAATTGTAAAACGGTATGAACCAGTAAGTTTTGAAACAGTTTTCAGTACCGGGTCACGGTCTAAGTACCGATTAGTGGTTTCAAACCCGGCCAACATTTTCAATATGTCAGCTCTAATATAGAATTATATATAAAAATTGACATTGACACTTTTAAGACATTGTCCTTAAAGGTTAAATTATTGAATTTTCACTTATTTTTGCTATAATTGACTGTAACTTTGTAATTAATAAATGTGTTATCTTCATACTTTGACAAAACAACATTTAGGGGTGGACCTTCTAAAAAGTTGAAATGACCGTGACCTTAAGCTTTAAATGACCTTGACTGTCAAGGTCAGATTAGTGTCTCTTGATTTTTTTTAACTGGCTAAATGGATTTTCTTCATATTAAGACACAACATCATATGGTCAGGACCTTCATGTATATCAAGCTCAAATTTACCTTGACTCATGTATGACCTTGACCATGAAGGTCAAATTACTTTATTGTCACCGATGATCGCTTTAATTGGCTGTAACTGTAATTTGTCAATGGATTTCTTTCATACTTGGACAAAACAACCTTACGAATAAGTTGTTGTTAAAGCTGAACTGACTGTGAACATTAAATTACTTTGACTGTCAAGGTCAAAGTAAATTGTCATAATTTTGTTATATATGAAAGGATAAGATTCATATGTGGACAAAATGACACTTGTGACCAAACATACATGTCGTATAATTTAGATATGACATTGACCTTTAAATAACTTTGTTCGTCAAATGATTGAACTTTGATTATATTTTCTTAACTTTGTCATTTATTTATGGAAAGTATTTATATTTTGGACAACACAAAGTGACCAAAGACAATACAATTAATTAAAAACAGAAAAACTTTTTTCTTAATTTTTTTTTAGAGATTTTGTTAAGATTTATTTGTTTGCTTATTAAAACAAGAAGATAGTGTTTTTTGGTCCCTCCCCTCTCGCATGTCTTTGCAGTTGGACTTAGTAGTTACTTTTGGTGTATAGTTTGATGTATGTGCATCTGTGCGTCCATCCAGGATTGTTCAGTCTATATCTTTCTCAATCTTTGAAGGATTGCAAAGCAATTTGGTACAAATATTCACCTTGATGGGGTGATGTGTCTCACACAAAACCCAGGTCCACCGCTCAAAGTAACACTTTGGGATCAGTGCAATTCCCATGTACAGAGCGTAACATCCATATGCATGGCGGGACAAATGTTCTCCATATTTATCTTATTTTACATTTGTTGGAATCATATTTCTTTAATGCTGGTGGAACAATTTCAAATCAATTGTATTGTTACTTTCAGTTTTATTTTTTATTAAACCATAAAAAGTTGTTAAGGATTTTAATATCATGTTATAAGTAAAATTTCGTTCGGGGAACAGGATTATTTATGAATTTATTTTTTCTTTGCATTAGATGGAATCATATTTCTGTTCTGCTGGCGGAACAATTTCAAATGAGTTACATTATTTGATTTTAGTTTAAGAAATATTTTTTTGACTAAATCTTCTTAGGGTGTTACAAATTGTATCTTGTAATAAAAAAATGTTCCGCCAGCAGAACAGAATTACTTTTGTTCCGCCGGCAGAACAATTTCAAATAAATTTTATTAAATGATATTCGTTCTGAATTATATTTTTGATTAAACATAAAAAGTTTAAGAATTTTTTTTGTAGTGAATAAATGTTCCGCCGGCAGAACAGAATCACTTATGGTTATATTCTATGTTTAAATTGATGTTATCATACTTATGTTCCGCCGGCAGAACAATTTCAAATCAATTTTATTAAATGATATTCGTTCTGAATTATATTTTTGATTAAACCTAAAAAAGTTTAAGAATTTTTTTTGTAGTAAATAAATGTTCTGCCGGCAGAACATAATCACTTATGGTTATATTCTATGTTTAAATTGATGTTATCATATTTATGTTCCGCCGGCAGAACAATTTCAAATCAATTTTATTAAATGATATTCTTTCTGAATTATATTTTTGATTAAACCTAAAAAAGTTGTTAAGAATTTTCTTGTAATAAATGAATGTTCCGCCGACAGAACAGAATCACTTATGGTTATATGCTATGTTTAAATTGATGTTGTCAAACTTATGTTCCGCCGGCAGAACAATTTCAAATCAATTTTATTAAATGATATTCTTTCTGAATTATATTTTTGATTAAACCTAAAAAGGTTATTAAGATTTTTCTTGTAATAAATAAATGTTCCGCCGGCAGAACAGAATCACTTATGGTTATATCTTATGTTTAAATTGATGTTATCAAACTTATGTTCCGCCAGCAGAACAATTTCAAATCAATTTTTATTAAATGATATTCTTTCTAAATTATATTTTTGATTAAACCTTAAAAGGTTGATAAGAATTTTAATATATTGTAATAAGTAAATGTTCTGCGGAACAGGATTATTTATGAATTTATTTTTTCTTTGCGTTAGAGTGAATCATATTTCTGTTCTGCTGGCGGAACAATTTCAAATGAGTTACATTATTTTATTTTAATTTAAGAAATATATTTTTGACAAAATTTTTCAAAGGTGTTAAAAATTGTATCTTGTAGTAAATAAATGTTCCGCCGGCAGAACAGAATCTCTTATGGTTATATACTATGTTTAAATTGATGTTATCATACTTTTGTTCGGCAGGCAGAACAATTTCAAATCAATTTTGTTAAATGATTTTCTTTCAGAATTATATTTTGATTAGAAATTTTTATGATTCTATCTTATTTTTGCATTCATATGGACTAGAATCATATTTCTGTTCTGCTGGCGGAACAATTCCAATGAATTCTTTTATTTGATTTTTACTTTAAGAAATGCATTTGTTACAAAATCTTGCAAAGGTTGTTCAGAATTGTGATATGTTGTAATTAATAAATGTTCCGCCGGCAGAACAGAATCACTTATGGTTATAACCTAGTATGTTTTGATACACGTTTTCATACTTATGTTCCGCTGGCGGAACAATTTAAGACTGAACTATTTTGTAAAATAGTTTAATTTATTTTTTATTTAATGTTCCGCCGGCAGAACATTTAAGCATTTTTGGATTCTTGCTATCTCGCAGAAAGAACTGCTAAATGTTCTGCTGGCGGAACAAATCATGATTTATTTGTGATAATGTGCTGTATTTTTATAACAAAATGAAATAAATTTTGTGTTAAATATATTTTCAGATCTACTTTTTGTTGTTTTTCCCTTAAAATACATCTTAAAATATCCACTAAAATAGCTGAAAATGGCATTTTTAATTGGGAATCTGTGGATAATCCCTTTTTAAAATGGATGGAGTTATATAGTATTTCATCAGAAAATGAACGCTAATTTCTTGACAAAATTGACGAAATGATCCGTTAATTTGTTATCGTTTGGAGGTTCTTTTTGTGTTTTTATTTTTACTTCTTTATTTAAACTGTAGAAATTTTCGTAAAAAACACAATATTTTCGAAACAAATTTGACAAAACACTAAACAATTTGCCTGATATCGATGCGGATTCGATTTTGTACAAGTTTGGTGGTAGTTCTTTACAGAAATATAAGGCCAAAACCAAATCACATTGTCCTGGAGATTTCCGTGTGGCATGATCGTTTTAAGGACCAGCTATTTGTTCTTTCTGTATATAAACTGTAGGAATGTTCGTATTAAAAATACAATATTCTCGTGACATCGGTGACAAAATAATTTGCCTGACTTTGATGCAGAATCGACAAGGTAGTGGGTCTTCTTTACAGTAAAATCAGGACTAAAGCCCTAACCCAAGTAAACTGTCTAGGAGATTTCCGCATTGTATGATCGTTTTTAGGACCGGCTATTTGTTCTTTTTGTTTATAATTTGTAGAAATTGACGCAAAAAAAACCCCACAATATTCTGAAGAAAACCGTGAAAACAACATTTGCCTGACTTGATGTGAATTCGATTTTGTACGAGATTGTTGGGTTTTCTTAACTATAATATAAAGCCT